AGTTCTAGGCCAGCTGAGGCTACAGAGAGACCCTGTCTCAAAGAAAAAAACACAGCTATGGCTAGAAGCTCTTATCAATTTCCCCATAGTCCCCGTGGCTCTTTACTGGAGGTTGTTCCTCACCAGAGTCCATCAGAACCCCGTCCTGAGCCCCTCACTCTTCTCAGGCTCTTTTCAGCCCTGCACAGCTCAGCTTAGGGGCTTCCTCCATCCCCATGCAATGTGCCTCATCCTAGAGCAGCGCCTACTGCTTTCCACAAGTCAAGGCCATTGGCAGAGGCCCTTCTGCCCTTGCCTCAGGTCTGCACCAATCACTGACAGAGAATAAGGGTGTAGGCTCCTCTTTCTGCCCTCTTCCTCCTCCTCCTCCTCCTCCTCTTCCTCCTCCTCCTTTGACCACAACCCCAACCCTAGAATGGTCTGGTTTTCTTCAGCTCTATGGGCCAGGTCTCTAGAATCAAATTTCTTATTAAAATACTTCCATACATAAAACAATTAAAATTCACACAGTCACAACTAAACACCTGCTGACAGCCTGGGTACCCTGAGACTCTGAGAAGGAGGGTGTATGCAGACTATGGAGCCCCAGAAGGGAAGAATCCAAAGGGATCCATTTATTCATGAGGCTGGGCAGGGTTTCTTTACAAAGGAAAACTCAACCCACATTGTCAGTGCTGTAGTGGCCTTTCTGCTCCTTCCTAGAAGGCAAGCACACACATGGAGCTGCTAGAGTATTGTTCAGGATGTGCAGGGAAAGCTGACTTCCCCAGCCTGCTGCACTGGGACCTGGGACCTCCGCTGCCTCCCCCCTTCTAATGCTGCTTGGCATTTGACAGTGTTTAATGAGGAGGTTCCTGGGGTGGCCCTGAGAGGACTGTAGGAGGCAGGCATGCAGCCAAGAGAATCCTGGAGAATGCCGAGCTCAAGCTCTGTGCCGGGGAGTTGATGATGTAATGCTCTCTGGGGTCCCAGCAGATGTTACCACTGCCCTCTTGGCAACCAGCATGCGGCTCCTCTGCACCAATACTAACTCTCCTGCTTCCTGAGCAGGAGATATGAAAACCTCATTGTCACATAAAAGCCAACCCAAGAGGAGAAACGACTTCTGAAATGCATCTTAGCGAAGAGGGATTTCCATAGCAACTTCAGAAGTGTGTGCATACAGCTAGCCACAAGTCCAGCTGATAGTAGCCACCTGGAGTGTGGGCAGCAGCTGCGGGGGGTGGGGGGCGGTTTTAGAATCTGTCATGCTGCCGAGTGCCCTCTACAAGTCACTTACCCTCTCTGATGCCAAAGGTGACAGAGCCAACATCAGATCAGCCTGAGAGAGACCAAGGTCATGTGTCCTTGCCTTCTCCCATCCTGGGCCAACCCTTCAGTCCCCCAGTGTAACCCCAGCTTAGTCCTGTTTCAAGGTCTCAGCTGCTCATACTTATTCTTTGACACCCAGACAAGGGTCTCCTAGGACTCTGAAGACACTGGCCAATCTTTGATGATCTGAATTCTATTCATGCTTTCCCAGTCCTATAGGTCACATTCTGGGCAAGAATCAGAGATGCTGGGTTCTTTGTTTTTGTGTTTTGGGGTTTTTGTTTGTTTGTTTGAGGTTTTTTTTGTCTCCCTGTAGCCCCAACTGACCTGGAACTCACTATGTAGACCAGGCTGGCCTTTGTTGGGGTTTTTTTTTTTTTTTGTTTTTTTTTTTTTTTTTTTTTTTTTTGGCTGCTTAAAGGATCAACATGGGGAGTGGGGCACAGGCTGGATGTGATGCAGTGATAACACAAACCTCAGGTGACCTTAGGGACCCTTGGAGTCTGATGGCCCTAGAGAGTCATCCTCTAGGAGGTGAAGGCTCTGGGCTTTTAAATTGTACCCTGACAATCAATGGTTCCTGCTGCTCCTGACTTGGGCAGTTCCCTTGTGGGGTGGCATTTCTGGGAGAGGGACTTAGTCATGGCTAGCACAACACCAGGTAAAGGCAGTAAGTGCTCAGTCACTAGAGGGCAGAAGAGGTACACCATGACACCCACTGAACATGCGCATACACCACACACATATACAGACATACACATACACACATGCACATTCACACATACACACATACACAAATGCATACATACTTAACATACACACATGCACATACAAATGCTTACACATACTTACACACATATACACAAACACATATATACACTCATACACACTCACACATATACACCATATACACATATGCACATTTACAGCCACATGCATGCACACATGCACATCTTCATACACACATGCATACATATACATAGATGCACATTTGCACCCCCACAGGGGTACACTCATGCATGTGTACACATGAATGTACACACGAGTGTACACATGGAGCCTTCCCTGGCAATGCAGCCAGCCCTACAGGCAGCATGGCAGGTGATCACAGCACAGACATCAGAGCAGCTGAATAGCAACCTGGTGTTGCTGTGTCACCATAGTGCTCTTCAGACCTCAGGCTGGAGAGTGACAAGCACAGTCTAGGGTAGTTTTCAGGACATGTCAGATCCAGCCTGGCTTGTTGAACTTGAGGTGCAGGGTCAAAATAAGCCTCACATCTGGTTGCGCATGCTCAAACTCTATGACCCTAAAACTGCTTCCTCCTATTTGTGAGCTCTGAGATGAGGACAGTCAATGATAACCTCGTTGGCTATCAATGGGTTAGGCTGGGAGCTCACTTAGTACACTATACAGAACAAGCCCAGGCTAATGCAGCTAAACACAGTCTAACCTTGGCTCACCAAGGCTAATCCAGTTTAACCCAGCCTGGACTTGTAAGCTCTGGAGGGTGATCAATATCAACTGAGATGCAAAGACTTCTGAAAAGTAGGCATTTTAAAACATATTTAGTCTCCAGAAAAAAAAAATTCATCCATACTTGTGAACAGTAAACAATGAAACTCATTTGTATCTATTTCATTGTATGTTCAACCTGTTTGTTCATCTGAAATACATACCAAAGTTGATAAACATGAAAGACCTCAAGCACTCTGAACGTGCTATAGATACTCAACAACCTAATAATAAATCCTGCAAAGTAAGCACTATTATCCTTCTCAGAGGCTGAGTGATGGGTAGGCAGCCGGCATGGTGGCACACAGCTGTAATCCCAGCATGAGGAGGGTGGAGAAGGGAACATGGAGGCGGGACAGAAGGATGGCAGATCAAGGGCAGCCTGGACTATGTAGAGAGACCCTGAAACATACAACAGAAAGTGCCATGAGGTGTTTGGGGCTGGTGTTTGGCGCTGCAGGAAGGCGTCTGCTTGCCTGAGAAGGTTCATGAAGAATTGTTGAGTATGGTCCCTCTGTGGAGAAGCCCTTCCCAACTGCTGAGGCGGGGTCGGGCTCTGAATAAGTGGGAAGTATCACCCTCGGCTCTAACCCCCTCAGCCCTGACAGTCATCACAGCTGGGTTCTCAGAGACTAAGACCGACCCTCCAATTGTAAGGACCATGCTATGGGTAGCACAAAGCCTTTGTCTGAAACCATGCCTGCTGGTCAGAAGTCTGAAAGTCGTATCTATAAACCGAATAGCCCAAAGCGGGTGAGAAATCTGCTTTGAAACTCTTGTTTGAGATCTGTTCAAGCCAACCCTTCTCTAGAATTCTCTGTCTTGTTTTATCTCTGCTCAGACATGGGCACATGGAAGTTTTGCTGGTCAAATTGTAAATACCCATTAAGAATCTGTGTAAACGACACAGGATGCTCACAGTTCATGCCTTCCCACACATCAAAGCTTGTTTCTCCAGGAACATATCTTCATTCTGTTTCAAGTGACCCTTACTTTAAAATGAGGAAATGGGGGCTGGAGAGATGGCTCAATGGTTAAAAACACTGGCTGCTCTTGCAGAGGACACAGGTTCAGTTCCCAGCACCAACATGGTGACTAACAATCATTGGTAACACCAGTTCCTGGGGATTCAACAACCACTTCTGGCCTCCACAGGTTTGCACACACAAGTGCACATCCGTACATGCAGGCAAAACACTCATACACAAAAAATAATATTTTATTTATTTATTATATTAATAGTTATAATTAATTATAATTATATTATTAATTAATTAAAATGAGGAAACTATAGTTTCTTGGGCAGAACCCACAGCTCTTACCTAGATTTGGACTCTACATGTAAAATCAGATTGGAATGAAAAGCAGAGCCAGCTTGAAAATGGCAGGCGACACAAAGGGGCCTGCGGGACTGGAGAAAGGAGGCCTAACCATGAGCCTCCAGGGTGCCTGTTCTCAGGGGCCCCACAGTTGGCCCGGATCCCTGCATCTGTTAGACCACAGCCCTTTCTCTCCCATCAGACACTCTCCCATCAGTGTCAGGCCTCCTAAAATGATTCCCAGAGTCGATTCCATCAGCATGTTGCTTCTCAAATTTTAAGGCACATATAAGCTAGGGTAAGAATTCGCTAAAATGCCAGCTTTGATTCAGTAGTTCCAGGGTTAAGGTCCCTCACTCTAACAAGTCACCCAGAGATGCTCACACATCTGTGGACCAAACTTGAGCAGAGAGATATTAATAGTGTTTTATGAGCAAAGGGTTTGTGAGCAAAATAAATATGAAAAAATTAAACTAAACAAAAATAAAGATTTCATTACTGCAGGACTTATCAGAGCCTTTTAAACATTAGTAAACAACTCCAAGAGGAGATGATACAAAAATTATAAAGAGATACATACACTCAGGGGTTAAAGATATTACCAAGAGACTTTAATACATTGGTCTACAAAGAAGGAACAAAAATCAAGACTATTATGTAAATTTTCCCAGCTTACCCCGGCTCCAATGCTTCAGCATTCTTTCCCAGGGCTGCACTGCTCTCCCTCCCATTGTCTACTCTGAGGGGCTTGGGAACATGCCTGCCTCCTCCATCAGACCATATACCTGGGCATCCTGTTTCTGTTTCCCTCCCCGATCCCAGCCTAGGCTCTGTGCTCAAGGCCCCAGGGATTACCTTTCACAGACTCGCACAGTCCAGGCAGCGATGATCCACAGTGAGATGCTGAATACCAGCAGCACCGTGCCAGGGCAGATGGTCATGAGGGTCTTCATGACAAAGCGGGTGTTGAAGTTGATCTTATTGAGGGCCCCAATGCTGCGGGATGAGGCATCGGTGAAGAGCTTGCTGTGCAGCAACATGACACGGGCGATCAGATACAGGCGCAGGAACATGGGGATGGACAGGATGATGTCTACGTCGGCCTCTGCCCGTGAAGGGGTGTAGGAGAAGGCCAGGCGTGCAGTCCAGAAGAACTTGTATTCACCAGGAATAGGGTGGATGGCACACACCAGCATTTCCAGACTGATGTACAGGATGCGTTCATAGGTCATGGCTATCCGCCAGTCATCTGCCCCATTGTCAATCACGAAGAGCTGGAGGAGCAGAGAGCCCATTAGTGTGGCTGGACCAGATAAGCAGAGGTGCCAGGTTGAAGGCCAGGGTGTGGTGCTGGGCCTGAGCCAGCCTGACTACCTCAGGCCTGGGCTGGGGCTTCCCTGCAGTAAGAGCCCTGATGGAGACCTGCTTGGGTCTTGCTGGAGGCCCCAGCTAAGACCCTCACTCGCTGCCCTTCACTTTCCCCCTCTGGAAGTTGCTTCCTGACTTTTGCTTGTTTGCTTAAGAATGTTTTGTTTTGTTTCTGAGACAGTCTCACTCTGTAGCCCAGGCTGGCCTCAAGTTCATGGCAATCCTCCTGTCTTGACCTTCCAAGTGCTGGGATTATAAGGGTAAGCCACCATGCCCAGCTAGATATTGTGATTTATAATAAGAAAGAATACACTTGGCCTTGAACTTGGCCATAGCACGCAACTCTTGGAATAGAATAGGGGTGCAGCTCAGCAGTACAGTGCTTGCCTAGCATGCATGAGATCCTACAGCAACACACACACACACACACACACACACACACACACTATGAGCTTCAAAAGTGACCAAGAGTCTTTTGAATGCCAATGACATGACCTCTGGCTGGGGAGCCCTAGACAGCCTTGGGATGTAAGCTGGACACAAGGGGGATCAACTTTCAGTCCTGCCTTGCCCCATGGGTTGATTATCAATGGCCAATGAATTCATCAGTCACACCACACAACGAAGCCTCTGCAAAGCCCAAGGACAAGGTTTGGAGACTTCCAGATTGATAAGCATGAGGAAGCATCTAGAAGGTGTCACATCCAGAGGCTCTGGAAGCTCCATGCCCTTCCCATACCCCGGGACATGGGTGCTCCTCAGGATCCTCTGAAGTATCCTTAAGAATAACACAGTAGGGGACACTGAAGGAAAATCTTCGAAAATACATAAAGCAGGCTGGGGTCTATCCCAAACTTGTAGTCAGACTTGGCAGTGATGTTCACCTAGTTCTGGCTTTAGAGGCATGAAAAATGCAAGAGTGAAGGGGTCATCATTTCTTCCTCCAAGGTTTCAGAGAGCCACCAAGGCCAGCCGCGTGCACCAGGGTTTCCCTGCTGTGCTGGATGCTTTAGTGTCAACTTGACACACCCGGGTTGAGGGAGCCTCAATTGGGGAATTGACTTCATTGGACTGGCCTGTGGCCATGTCCATGGGGCACCTTCTTGATTGTTGAGTGATGTGGGAGGGACCCAGCCCACTGTGGGTGGTGCCACCCCTGGGCAGGTGGGCCTGTGTTGGATAAGAGAGCAGGCTGAGCAGGGGCCAGGGGAGCAAGCCAGTAAGCAGCATTCCTCCATGGCCTGTGCTCCAGCTCCTGCTTCCAGGTTCCTGCCCTGAGTTCCTACCTTGGGTAAACAGTGACCCGGGAGATGTAAGATAAAATAAACCCTTTCCTCCCAAGTTGGTATTGGTCAGAGTATTTTGTCACAGCAATGGAGAACAAACTAGGACACCTGCCTAAAGAAGGCCCTGATTGGCCATTGCATGAAGCTGTGAAGGTGAAGCCTGGTTGGCAATGGAGACCCCAAGAAGACGTTCATGACACCAGAGCTGTGGGGCATCGGCCAAGAAGATCTGCACACAGGGAGTGGTACCAGCACAATAGAGAGGTGTATGTTGCACTCAGCAAAGCTGGAGAGGCTGAGCCATCTAAGTCTTTCGGAAGTAAAGTCCCAGAAGTCAGACATGGCACTACTGGATTTGGTGTTTGCCCTGCTGGTTTTTGGTCTTGTGTTGGCCTGTATTTCCTCTCTATGCCTCTATTCGTCCCTTTTGGAATAGTAGTGTGTATTCGGTTCCACTGTGTGTTGGGAGTATGTAATTTGTCTTTTGATTTCACACAGGCTTACAGTTAAGAGATTGCCCTGAGCCTCAGAAGAGACTTTAGACTGTGAACCTTGAATAGTATTGAGACTGGTAATGACTGTGGGGACTTTTAAGGTTGGACTAAATGCATTTTGCATTTTATACAGTTATGAGCCTATGCAGGCCAAGGTGTGGAATGTGGTGCTTTGAATGAAAATGTCCCTCATAGGCTCCAAGTATTTGGACATTTTCTCCCCAGTTGGTGGTGCTGTTTGGGGAGGCCTTAGAAGGTGTGGCTAACCTGGAGGAAGCAGGTCACAGGGGGCGGGCTTAGAGAGTTCTTAAGCCTTGCCAGCTCTCGTGGTGCTTCTCTTGCATCCTGTGCCTGCTTGAAGATGTAGAGCATTGCTTCCGCTCCTGCTCCAGCCACCTCCAGCAATCATGCCTCCCTGCCATGATGGACTGTAATTCCCCTGGAACTGTAAGCTAAAAAAAATCCCCCCCTTTTTTAAAAAAAAAAAAAAAAAAAAAGAATAACACAGTAAATGTCACCCCAGGCTGTGCACAGTGCTCCAGCAAATGGGTCAAATCCAAGCGGCAGGTCATAGGACTGATTCACAGCTAGAGAAACATCAGTCAGAGCCCACTGGGGCATTGGGAGTGGGGTCAGTGCTGGGGGACTGGCCCATTAGCCTGTGGCATCTGATGCTAACTTCGAGTACAGTGTTGCTGTCCATGCTCCCACAGCAAGTGAGGACACTGGGCGGACAACACTGGGTCAGTTCTCTCTGCCATACACTGCCAAGTTTCCTTCAAACATGAAGGTGCAAATGCTATTTAATGCTAGGGAGAATTAAGAGCTCTTTTACATTTAAAATATTTTTAAAATTTATTATTTTTATTTTATGTGTATGTGTGCATTGCCTGCGTGTAGGTAAGTGTACCCGTGTCATGCAATGCCCATGGAGGACAGAAGAGGCTGTCAGAACCCCTGGAACTGGAGTTACAGACAGTTGTTAGCTGCCGTGTGGGTGCTGGGATTTGAACCCAGGTCTTCTGCAAGAACAACCAGTGTTCTTAACCACTGAGTCATCTCTCCAGCCCAAGAGTTCTTTTATATTTAAATTTATTTATTTTTCTTATATGACTGCATTGCCTACATGTATGTAAGTACACCCATGAGTGTAATGCATGCAGAGGCCAGAAGAGGACATCAGATCCCCTGGAACCAGAATTATAACCTGTTATTAGCTGCCATGAAGGCACTGGGAACTGAACCTGATTCCTCTACAAGATCAGTCAGTGCTCTTAACCCCTGAGCCATCTCTCTGGCCCCAGGTGTAGCTGAGCCCTAGAGGTACAGTGATGGGAAAGGACACTTCCCATATCAGTGAGCTCTCTGGGATGCCAGGCTCCTCCTGGCTGCAACTCAGAAGGAGCAGCAAGTGTTTGCTGGCCATGCTGTGCTCTTGGGTCATGCATGGAGCAAGCGTTCATTGCATAGCTCCTGAGCCCAATACTCACTAGTTCTGCAATCTTGAGCAAGTTAGTAAACCTCTCTGTGCCTCCATTTTCTTATCTGGGGATGGTAAAATCTGCTGCCAGTCACTGAGAGGCCACAGTGGGCACAATGTGTGTACTATATAGTATATACAATGTGCAAAGAGACCTACCTAGCACCCAGCACACACTATTGGCTATTATGAGCATAGCTATGAGCTGTTGGTTAGTGTTAATATTGGCTATCACTAAGACTAGCATCTTGCTCTTTCTGTCTCGTCTTCCTTCCAGCACTAGCCTCCCTGGAAGCTGCAATTCCTGCTGCCACACCATGAGAACCTGCTCAGTCAGGCAGGCATTCACTGGGTATCTGTTGCCTATATGAGGGCTGAGGTTGACATCTGGGGAAGGCCTAGCCTTCATCCTCAAGGACGCCCACTGTGGGATCCTATCGTGTTTAACGACTGTGCCCAGGACTTCACATCTGCCTTCCTGTGGCCTCGGTCTCCACCTCTGTGAACAGAGGAGCCTTGAAGGTCACAAACAACTGGGGCCTGCCTGAGGGTCTGTTTCTTGGAGGGTGAGACTGTGGCCACAGGAACATCACACCCTCTGTATGTCCCTGGCTAGCACCTGCTGGTGCTTAACCACACATGTGGTTGAGGGCCCCAGGGAGCTGTTGCCCTCTGGCAAAGACTTTAAGGAAGAGCTAGGGTGGAGGTCCTGTGGCCTAAGCTGGCTGGTGCTCTGGGTCATGAGCTCTGAGTGGCAGGCATACCCATAGCAGGATATCCTGAGTGGGGAGTGACCCCAAGTCCTGCCTGGGGTGGCCAGTGCTGGAAGGCTAGAAAACTGTCAGGCTGAGAAAGAAAGAAGCTAACAGTGGGGCAGGAGCTAGGGGAAAGTGGAATTTAACCTGGAAATCTAGCCTTAGCACAGAGGGAGAAAAGGGTTGCATGATGAGTTGGGGCCTGGCCAAAGATGAACTTACCCTCCTTCCCTACCCACTTCTGCCTGCATGGGACTGCCTCTACCTTGGGGGTCTGAGCCCCACTCTTCTATTTAGAAGCACCCCTCTTCTCCTTATCTCCTGCCCTCTCATGGGTCACTGCCCCTTCAACCAAGGACTGAGGAGAGAACTCATGCTGCTGGGTCTGGGGCCTCTAAGGGTAAATCAAAGGGTCTCTGGCATCCTGATACAAATTCAAGGAAAACTGGGCGTGGTGGCGCATGCCTTTAATCCCAGCACTTGGGAGGCAGAGGCAGGCAGATCTTTGTGAGTTTGAGGCCAGCCTGGTCTACATAGTGAGTTCCAGGACAGCTGGGGCTACAGGGAGACCTTGTCTCAAAAACAACAAAAAAAAATTCAAGGCAAACCAGGAAGGTCTTGGGCACGTGTGTGTGTGTGTGTGTGTGTGTGTGTGTGTGTGTGTGTGTGTGTGTGTTGGGGGGTGGCCCTCCTTGCTTTTAGTATCTGCCTGTGACATTTGTGTGCTACAGGAGCAAGTACCAGGCATCCTAGCAGGCCACCAAGAGGCAAAGGAGGTGGCAAGTCCCTGACCTCGCTGAGCCTCAGCTTCCTCTTTCTTCCAGCTCTGTGACCACACAGAACCATAAAGAATGTGAAGCTTCAGAAAATCACAAACCACACAAAAAAATG